AGGAATGTTTTCCTAACTATCGGATCCGTTACATGGCCACCTTAGTGCATGTCATTACTACCGTATCCTTCCGTCTGTTCAGCCAGCTGGCCCGGTATTTAATGCGGCCCTCAGCCATGGTTTATGACACCTACGCGTTACTCGTAAACTTGTCAACTATCGATCTGAGAATCCAAGAATGGAATGCGTAATCATTTACACCACGGTACACCGACATCCGTATGATTTGCAACCGATCGTTTGTCATAAATTTATGGAGTCGCAAAATCTGGTTGCAGTTTGCAGTTACCTTTGAAAATTCAGTTGATAAGGGCAGCGAAAAAATCAGAAATTCTTCTTGGGGTTTATTCATAACTCTATAGAAGCGAATAGAAAAAATATACATATTAGGTTGAAAAAAAGTTTACGTGACATACTCAAACAATCGTAACTTTTTGCTTCTTCCATGACTTTGCTTACTGCCATTTTTTTTTTGGAAAAAAGAGATAATTCTCAAGAGCACCATTCTTACATTCTAATAGGCAGTCACAGAGATGAAGGCTGGACAAGGAAACCAGCCAAGTTTAAGTAATTTTATGCAACATGTCGAGAATCTCAAAGTGTAAAAGATCTCTTCATGATGAAAATGATGTCAAACAAAACTAGAAAAAAATTCGAATTTACAAATATTCGCGACGAACCTTCGCTACCCAGCACTATGAACAGCCTATCAGCGCTTAAAAAATGCGTTTTATAATACAAATAAAATCGCAAAAATTCAAATTCAAATCGAAAGCATATCGACTACTGCTCGACTAAGGTTTTGCCTGCTTAGCTGGGATTTATATAAGCGCTTGATACTCTTGACTCCGTCACGAAAAATCTCAGCTAAGCTGCTCGCTACAAATACGGGACCATGTATCACTTGCGGATCGCAGTTTCTACGGATTTCTGGTACATTTGCTATATGAGCACTGATTGTGTATCTGGATCATTTGTTAGTTTTGTTGAAATTTAGAAGATTAACCGTGGCCAATGTGCTCGATATGCCAGAAAATTACAATGCCTGACAACTTCATTTTCCGAAAGAAGTTGTATCTATTTTGGTAGACGGTTTGTAGGATAAATTTGCCCATAAGAAAAAAAACACGAAAGGTGTAATAGAAAGAAATAGGTAATAGAAAGCTTGCCATGTAATCTACTATTGAATGACAGCTGAACTAATAATGAGTGAAAATATCTACCACCAATTTAACGTTAGAGAAGGGACCTTGACCAAGAGCTACTAATCTTCTCAGCGTTCCAGTCTGAAAACACAGAATTCAAACAAAATAAAAACAGAAACAAAAACAGAAGTAAACAGAAATAAACATTTTTTCGACATCACATATCAGATTGTGATTTTCTATATAGGAAAAAACACCATCTTCTTCCATGTTAAAAACCCTAAAAAACCAAATCGTACTCAAACCGTCAGAGTGAGCGTATATGTAGTTGGATAATCTCTGTAGTATTTCAGCCAGAAATTGGTAACTAAGTGAATAATTTGTGCATGTTTGTGATGCTATGTTCTCCTTCTTTTGTGATTCATTCCGTGTAGGTTCAAAACCTTGTAGTATCCTGTGAGTGTATAGTGTCATACATGTCTAGTCAAAATAAGGTACACCTCTTTTTATAAATATGAGCGGTATAAAAAATGTTTCTGGGCATTTTATGGTTCAGAAATTGAAAGGAATGCGATTTGCAGAGCTTTTTGTATGGCATTAAATTGTGAAATTACCTGTTTTATGCTTCTCATTAGACGTTTGCGACTTTATTGGCAATTAAGTTTGTTCTTTTTCAAGTTATTCTGGAAATTCTTCGTTTTGAATATTTGAAGCGTCTGTGAGTTCGATGTGAACTCACATGCTGTCGATTACAACATTCTTGAAATATAAGAGTTTCAATTGGAAATCCAACTCATAAATGTGATTTTTCATTATGATGATCGCTCAGGGTGTCAGCAATGGCAGCAGATTCACGCTTAAATGTAAAAAGATCTGGTAGCTACGATAAGGTGGGGTAACACAGCAACATAAGAAAGGAAAAGAGTAGTTCCACTTTTGTACGGCCAGAACAACTAAATCTTTCGTAGTGAACCGTGGGGATGATATTCGGTCACAAAAAATGGTGTCACATATAAGCGTAAAGCAGGAGTTGTCCTTAATACTCGCAAAGACCGCGAAATCTAGGTAACTCTCTAAATTTTCTTGGCCAAAAAACTACAAGGCGTTATCAGTAAGACTCAAACGGAGCATCAGGAGCGACTCGTGTGCTAGCTCTCTGCGGTGCTAGAATCGTACCGGAAGTGGACGGACCCTCGTACTAGTAGATCGATATTCTGTCACGGTGCTGGAACGATTTTGGCGCATCGCTGGCAGGGATAATTCTGGACGCAGCCAAAACGCTACAGCTTGTCGACATTTCTTGCATGAAATTGCCTCAAATCTTCTCCACTGCTTATCAATTAACTCTTCCACAAATGCTTTTGACAACCGCATATTTAGTCTGCGACAGTCGTTGGAGAACAGTCTTTATTTACGTGTTTAAAGAAATATTTAGAAGTTTGACCTGTCCCATATACACGGGCAAAGCAGTTTGTAAAACCCAAATTCTTTCAGAGCCAGTGAACCGGGTCTCATCCGGTTTGGTGCGAAAATAGAGTCGCATAGGCATTCTCAAAGTTGGCGAGGAGTTGATTATTGAGAATTTCAGAAAAATGATGCTGTCTTATTTGAATGCTTTCTTACCCAAATTCATGGATGCAAAAACATTGATGCTCTTCGATTTTATCCCAGTAGTAATAAGTTAGTTTTGTTAAGTAGTAGATGCAACAGGGTTTTCAGTTGTTCTACGAGAATATTCATTACTGCCGTGTCATTTGGGCAAAAAAAGTGCTCGTCAATTTCGGGTTACATTTCAATGGTAGCTTTGTGATAGATTTGAAACCTTGCAGTTTTGACACAATCGGCAACATCGTCAACGACATTTTATGAAACTCCCGTTTTTCAAAGGGTTGCCCCCATACACTGTTTGAGAATGTTCCTAGAAAGATAATTTTTTCAAACCAGCAAAAGTTTTTTTTAGTTCAAGCGTCTATTTCCTACAATCGCAATGATTGGAAAACTTAATGTTGCCTAACGAATCGATAAGCCTATATTCTTTGAGCCTTCTCTATTGGAATAAGAAAAAAGAGGTGGTTGCATCCAACTCACGTTATCCGCATAATTTATGTAATATAAAAGCCGCTGGATATGCTCATTTCATATTTCACAACTTTCTGTTACAGACCTATGCTAGCCACAAAGTTCATTTCTCATACGTACAATGGATCTGATGTTCCTAGCACAGTTTCTGTATTCAGCTCAAGAAAATAATCACTTAGCCAATCAGTAGTTTCTTAAGGTGTAGAATATGAAATTTTTAGTGTTCTATTAGAATGGTGCAAAACTGATGCATGCTTTGCAAATTCTCAATTTGGCTAACAATTATCAAAACTCTATAATCCCTTATAGCTTTCTCGTCTGACATCATAAGCAAAAATTCATGGAATATAAGACAAAAGACATTTTTGCAAAACATTGTTCTTGAACAATTAATTCTCCGAGTTTTGTTGCTGTGGATCCTGATTGGATTATTGTATCATCTCAGCCAAGCCTGTGACATACATGCAAATGCAGCTTGAAAGAACTGCTTAGACAAAAACAGATAAAACTGTGAGTATTTTTTCCAGCAGGCCATGTCCCGATTTTGAATTTTCATTACTGCTCTAAATGTTGCAAATCACGCGCTGACTCTGCTCATTTTCACGCCAAATGTGAGCAGCACTCTGGCAACTGTCTCAATACAAAAAGGGGTGACTAATCATTATTGGAAGTCGATTTCTCAATCCAGTTGATTTTCAGCATTATGCCTTGTTGTGCATTTGCATATTATCACAAACATTAGCTAACTATTAAGAATAAATTGGTTAAGAAAGTCACTACAAAAACCTCAAGGTACAGATCAATAAAGGCTTGAAGCAACTTTGATTACGTATAGAAAGAGCAAGAAATGAGTTTTTAGAAGATTAGTTAGAGCATTTTCGCGAAATAAATGGCATGAAGAATTTTGTTCTCAAAGCGATAAGAAAACCGTGTATCAATTCTACCCCAGCCCAATGACTTCTGGAAGTTGATTTTCTTGAGATTTATTCAGCTCTTGGGCCTTTGCCAAAAAAACAAAACCCCACATATCTCAAATTTGCCCTTAATCTAAGCTGCTATATACTATAAAGAAGTGCGGAATCAGCGTAGTCTTGCCCATACTATCAAGTCTTTCAAAAATGCAGGAAAAGTTAAATCAGATGTGTCCTTCCTTCTAACCAGATTTCCTAATACGACCCTCTTATTTACTAGCTATACAAGCTCCTTCATTCGCACAAGCGCCCACAATGAGTTTTTAATACGAGTAGAGGAAATATGAGGTTTTGTGAAATGCTTTTATTGCTTGTGTTTACGTCACAGCTGCAAAGAGCAAAAAATTGTGCTTTTTTAAAAGCGAAAAGAAGTTTAAAATAGACATACGCTTTTGTCAATCCAACAAATGCCTTACTCGTATTTCCAAAATGTTTTTTATAGCTTTTCACCCTCTTTACTCAATACTTTGAACAAAAGTAATTCAGATGTTCCAGCTAATTTTGATGTGGCTGCTGCTGTCGATGTTAGAAAGCTTTACTGGTAAGTGCTCAACATGCTTTTTTTATGGAAAAAGGAATTGTGGGGCTGCAAAGACTTGAAAACTTTAATTGACTTGTTTCTTGAGTTAATTCATATAAACAGGACTACCAGGTAAGAGAAGCTAACAAACTTCACATGGCATTTTCAAACGAAAAGATGGTCCCAAAGCCTGATTTCTCGCAAACTTAATTTTCAAAAAAATATATTTTTTATGAAAAAATCGTAAAATTATCGAAAGTCCCTAATTGCCGTACGAAGATTGCTTTTGAACTTTGCGACATATGGAGTGGGGTAAAAATTCATTTGTATAATTCTATACATTCATAATTGAACAATTTGCTTTCCAGAACAGCTACCGCAGCAAAACGAATCTACTTCCAGACCTGAATACAAAATGTTAATTTTTGACGAAGTCAGACTTCCCCCTTTGAGTCGTGAGTGTATTCATTCTTCCATATATGCGACAACCAAACCATGTGCTTGTTTCAGTGTTATCCGAGCTCTTCTTCCCGGTGTTCAGTGAAAACGGAACTAGCGCAGTCTAAATTATTTCGGTACAAGTTGGTACAGCCATGTTTGGTCGCCAGCGCGAGCCCTGGGGCATGACCCATTTTATCAACGAAATTACTGGAATGTTGTGATTTCAATACGGATGATTATAAATGTAGCAGTGAGTATAACTTACATCCGACCAAAAAAACTGAATAATGGTCCCGAAAATTTTGTCGTTTCATTTTGAAAAATTTCTGGTTTTGCGCTATCCCATCGATTTGCATTTTTGAAATTTTATTCAAAAGAGTAAATCTTTTGCTTTTGAATGCTGTCTTTTCTAGCTTCTAGTACACATTGACTGCAGAGATATAAATACAATAAGAAGACCACATAAGTTTTGATCATTTTGAGGGTGGGAGGCGTGCAAGTGTTACCCAGGCAGCCGCCTGGTGTCGCAGCCAGCCGCCAGAGCTGGCACCAGCGTCGCGGCTGAGCTACCGTAAGCGCGCCCTCGTCGTCCGCAGTCTCTCGCAGAGAGATTTTCGCAGCAGTCTCGCACCTCATCGCGCTGAGGTGCGAGGCTGCTGCTAAAATCTCTCTGCGAGAGGATGCGGACGAAGAGAGCAAGCTTACGGTAGCTCAGCCGCGACGCTGGTGCCAGCTCTGGCGGCTGGCTGCGGCACCAGGCGGCTGCCTGGGTAACACTTGCTACGCACCCTTTTGAGGGTCGCTGAGAATCTGGAACGCTGCAGAAAAATCAGAAATAGTCATCACACAAATTTTCTGACCTACTCTTCGCAACCGTGGATGGCTTGTACTGTTTGTACTGTTTGAACAAGTCTGTAAAAAGTCATCATTTTCGAGAATGGTGACAAATTAATCAATTTGGAGTTTCTGCAGTAGAATCGAAATTCGTAACTTCTCGCAGAGACGTCCAAACAGTACAAATTTTCAACAGTTGCAAAGAGTAGGTCAAAAAACTTATGTAATAACGGTTCCAGATTATTCTGCAGCGTTCCAGATTCTTGGCGACCCAACTTTGAATGATCGAAGCTTATATACTCTTCTTTTTCCATTTTTATCTCTGCAGATGTGTGTAATAGAAGCTAACAAGGACAGTACACAAAAGCGAAAGATTTACTCTTTTAGATAAAGTTACATGGATGCGAAGAGGTAGCGCAAAATTCCAAATTTTGAAAATGAAGCGGCAGAACTTTCAGGACAATCTAATATACAGGGTGTCCCAAAAGTAAGTACACACTTTTCAACCGTCAATATCTCTCTTCCCAATGGGTCTTTTGTAGTGAGTCAAGTACCATTCAGTAGAGGACGCTTCAACTAGGATTTACGGTATTGTTCGAACCACCGATTGCTCTTCGTTTACTGTAGGATTACGGTAAGAACTTGCAGCACGTGCAATCATTGTGAAACATCCCACCTGACAAAATTTTTTCCAAAAAATTTGAAAAATCGTGTACTAAGGATTTCGCGCACGCTGATTCCACTACACAACTTTTTACGAGTGTTTTCAGCTCTTTTGACGGTATAATCTTATTTCTGACAAATGCTGAGAATTCGATTATTACGGTTTACTGGGATAACTTCAAAAAAAGCATCAAAGTGGAGTAAAAGTCTCATGTTCGAAATCAGCTGCTCCCAGTACTATAGCATAAGAGTTTTTGGCTTGTTTGGTTTTTATCGAGGCAGGATATGGCTTCCAGAGGTCTAAAATCTTTGTCGAAGTTCCTACAGTAATCCTACAGTAACGAAGAGCAATCGGTGATTCGATCGATACTGCAAATCTAAGTTGAAGCCTCCTCTACAGAATGGTACTTGATTCACAACAAAAGACCCATTGTAAAGAGAGATATTGACGATTGAAAAGTGTGTACTTACTTCTGGGACACCCTGTATAGTTTACACTTCTTAAAAGGTATATACAATGTTTACACTGTACAAGCAACTGAATTTCTACAGGGACAACTTTCTACTTCTCAAAATAGCTAATTGTAATATATTCGGTTTAGAAGGATAACTACTTTGGCACTTCAACTTATTTTGCCCTTATAATTAGATTCTGGTCAAGATTATGGTTATTAAGAAGCTGCCTTCACTGAAATGGTTCATATATATATAAGGTCAATCAAATGCAAAAAAATTATGTCAAAAGTTCTACTTGAGATCTGCCCTTATATACTAATATGGGATATCGCTTTGATCTTTATTTCTGTGTGAGAATCGACAAAATTACTGGTATTAGCTTGCTGATGTACTATGTTTCCAGATTTCCAACTTTTGAGGTTGACTTCACCAGTTAACCAATCATAACCTCACAGTCAAACGCGGATTTTGGGGCCCTAGAATTTTGGATATATTTCTTTAGATTTCAGTGCTCACTGGGACTCTTCTGATCCTTCTAATTAAGTAGGACAAGCCTTTGTAGTACATAATCGCATTGGAATTTACAAGTGTTGACTCATTTTCATTAGATGAACAATTACAAACTCAATTTTTGGGCTTGTCCAGATTTTCTAAATCTTTTTGTCGTAGAACCCGACATCCAGAAACGATCTTCAAGGCCCTCTGATAGAGGAAGGTAGTCACCTTGTAGCATAAACTAGTCCTATGTCCTATCGTCTTCCAGGTTTTGACCACAATTTGATCAGGTCACCTCGCCAGTACTCAAAGCCATACGCGAAATTTTTAGGGTCCCTAAGTTGGGTTTTTTCTTTGCTGGAATTTGTTGCCCATTGGGACCGCATTCTTCGTACATAGTCAACATATTTCGTGACTGAATTATTCACGCTTGTATCTAACTTTAATTCTGAGCTTATTTCGAGTTTAAACAACCTTTACTGGTTCACCACATTAATCAAACATAATAATTTGCACTTTTGCAGTTTACCTTCTACTTTTCTAAACACTTTTCTGCCATTCAGCTTGACGTACGAAGTGAAGGATTCCTTTCGCCAAATGTCGTGTTATATTACTCTGCGCCATCCTGTACCTTTCCATAAGTAATAATTTTATGAGCTTTCATTCTGTGTGTTCTGTTTAGTTATAGTATATAAGCATATCATCTACAGACAGAATATCTCGGATGTTCACATTTCCTTGAAAACACTACAAGTTTACTAGAACTTGATTTTGAAAGAGAATTCTTACATACGCATTCACTATTTTAAGCTTCAAGTTTGCGGTGAAAAACAGATTGTTTATAAATGTTTATTAACGATTCATAAAGAGTAATCACCGACAGCAAAGCAACACATGAGCCGAGTTTAATATTCACGGGATAACGTGGTCGGGAAATGAATAAAGATTTTTTGTGGATTTGCTCATTATAGAAAATATAATTTGCGCAGCCTATATATGACAAGACAGTTGAATACGGATAATCCGTATAAAAAGACGAAAGAACGTATACGAGTTGATGAAATTGAGAGATGCGATCGAGGAACAGATGGAAAAATTCGAAAATATTGAGTTCTACAATTGAAAAGCCTCGATTGCATTGTTATCAGTGGAAGCAAATTTGTGAGTGTAATAAAATGTGGATTGGATCACACGAAATATCAAAAAAAAAACAAAGAAGAGAATAAATGAAGGGTAGCGCGACACAAGCTGAGAGTAATATGAACATAAGCGGCAAAAAGCCTGAGTTGGAGGTAGCGAAAAAAAATAAAAATATAAAATAGTATGGTCTATAGACCGCCTGAATCATGTAATTTGGGTCCGTAGACCTCCCTGAATGTGGTGAAAAAATTCCTGAATTTGAATTCCTGAGAATGGAGAACAATCACGAAAAAACATTCCTGAGAGCAAGTTCCTGAGTGCAAGTAACAATAAAAGGATAAACGTATGAAAAGAAAGAGAAAACAAACACATACACCAACGTCTCTAAGAAACTAAAAATGCTCTGTTTAGAAAAAAAAACTATGTCCAAATTGTAAAAATTTTGTATACTGTGGGTAGTCACCGAGGGTGCGAATCATCACTGGGGATTAGTGGTACGGCCGGGAAAAACTGAAACAACCTTGAAAAAAAGCAAGCGACTCAGGCTCGACGGAGGCAACGACGTGAGGAGCGATTGGTAGGAGGCAGGTGAGTGAGTTGAATTGAGTGAGTGAGTGAGTGAGTGACTGAGAGTATTCAGGGGAACCGTGATCGGGCATTTTCGACTTGCGCAGGCATGACAAGCTGGCGAGGGAGGGCGGAGGTTCCGCAGCGCTTAGGGCGACGAGATGTCGTCCGAGCGCAAATCGCGCTGCTGTAGTAGGGGTTCGGTGTTTTTGTGCAGCTGCAGCAGCGACCATGCTGACGACATTTCGGCCAGTGTGGCAGGAAGAGCCTGAACAAATTCAAATTCAATTAGGGCAACACAGATAAAGCTACAGTATCCCAAAAATTTACCTGATTGCCAAGCGTAGCAGTGGCCAGCGCATGCAGTCCATTTTGCAGTGTTTCCGCTAATTTTACATCGCTTATGTCAGCCACTTGTTTTTTCCGATCAGGAACGATTGGTATTGTCTGCACTGAGTGTGTTGGCTTTTCTGTTGGTAGATTTAAGCTCTGCAGTGTCTGTGCTACGCTGCCTTCCGGCCAAACACATGATCGTTCACTCGGCAGCAAAACGCTCTCTTCGCGAGAACTCTTCGTCTTTTTGGCATGGCGCACGCGACGGCATCGCGCCGCCAATTTGCGCATAGAGTCGCGCAGACTCTCCCAGAAGTCGTCATCACTCGAGAAACGATCACCTAACACTTTGCGGCAAACATCTAAACAATACAACCATTAAAATTCGTTTACCACTCTAAAAATTTTATGAAAAACTCACGTTGTATATACATGATGCCTTCAATCGGCAAATTTGGAAACGTCGAATGATTCAATCCTGCTACCGTAGTCTCTGCCATCAATTTCGAGCCAAATACTCGTTTTTCAGCCAGTTTTTTACACAAATGTGTCATTGACTCGCGCACATCTACCTCCTCAAATCGCTTATTCTGAATCACCTGTTGCACCACTTGCTGTTCGGATACAGCACGGAAATCTGAAATTTTGGAATTTTTAAAACGATCATAGACTACGCAACGGGCTAGCTATAGGTGTTCATTGCACGCAGAGAGAGGATGCCACTTCGGACGTTGTCTGCAATCTCAGATCAGACCCAATACACTTTTATTTTTCTAAACGTCTACTGCTTCTCCCTAACACATACTAATTTGACCCGACGCAACGCGTCCATTCTCTGCGTGTGATGAATTGCCTGTACATACTTGGATCAAGGCTTAAAGCCTGTGGCACAGGAATAGGTATAGCACTGATTCGTTCATCACTAAGATCTTGTTCACGTATCAGCTTCACATAATCATCATTTTGTTGTTTCTGAAATTGACAACATGAATTTTCGATGAAGAAAGAAGGGGTGGGGATTTTTGTTACCCTATGCTTGCGTTCAGGGGTAGTGATGGAATGAACGTGTCCGATGGGCATTGATGCAGCAACTGGTGCGCTTCGAGAAGCTGGTGGTTCAGTCTGAGAAAATTTTTTTTGGGTCTTTGAGAACTTCCAAAGCTAACGCTCAAAGTGGAATATTTACCTTCACCATTCCGTACAAAAACGATGACTGCGACAAATCTGCAGACTTTTGCGGAAATGGAAAAATAGGATGATGTGGGTCCTTTAGATACGCAGGCAGCTGAGCTTGGCCAGCAGGTGATGTAAGCATTGCCTAGAACCAAACCCACTTATCTCAAAACTTCAAAAATACACAGTAAAAATTGCCTGAGGCAATGGATTTATGGTTTTTGAGCTACTAACGGATTCAAAGAGATTACGGAGGGAGTATGTTCGTGTGATCATGCACGTTCAACGTAAACAACCATTAGTCGGGCGTTCGCGATCAAAAAGCAATAGTACATGTGGTAAACAACGACAACGGGCAGATGAAAAGAGGAGTGTAGGAGGGAGAAAGGCCAAAGACTAGTCTGGCCAGGCGCCAATGTTCTGCGATGTTCTTGAAAGCGTTCTATTTTGAGCTTTCTGCTAACCTGTGTAGATGTCGAAGATGTCGAGGACTCACTTCCATCCATTCCGACGATGTCGATGCTTGTAGGTTCGCCTGAATTCAAAATTTTATTAGATATACTTATAATGTTATGATCAGCGCCTTCAAATCCAAAAACTGCGAATAATTGCGGAAATGCCGTGATACCTAAAGTGGAGCAAGATTTTCTGCCAATGTGTGGTACTACACAATTTTGAGGTTGGGGCCACTCAAACGTCCAGACATCATGCTTACTAACAAGGGAACCGTGTCGAGTCGAAGTGGCCTTTCCAGATGAGACCCATACTGCTCTAAAGAGCATTTATCGGTGATTCCAAATCTGCTTTCCAAATCTGCCAAGCGCCTCTGGACGCCAAGTTATGCTCGTTTTTCAGGTCAAAAAATTGAACGCAAAACTGAAGCAAAATCGCCGAAATTTGCTCAAATGGTCAAGTGTCAAGTATCAGAGCTGTTTATGCAATGGATACATTTTATTTAATATGCTAATACTTAACATTGCTTTATCTGAGCGCTGGAAAGATTGTAACAATCAATTTTACCTAAATTCTGCATTCATTTTTCGTTCCGAAGAACGGTCACAACTCGGTGTCCAGAGGCGCTTGGCAGATTTGGAAGGCAGATTTGGAATCACCGCTTAATACCCTTCAAAGCGGTATGGGTCTCATCTGGAAAGGCCACTTCGACTCGACACGGTTTCCTTGTAAGGTTCTTTTTTGATTCTTGCTGTTCCTCAGACAACCCAAGGGAACTTTCGCAGGACAAGCAGGACCTGCGAGCGATTGCACAGGATTTTGTTTAGTATCACAAAAGCGCAAGCATCAAAAAACGCCAGAATGACTGAATGCGGAAACTTCCGCAGCATTTCCCGCAGGGACTGTGGATCTGTTCCGTGAATGTCCAGCAGAACTTTCGTCAATCGTCAGAGTTTAGGCATAAGCTTTGGAAAAATCAGTGATTACATTTCATGAAATTCTCATAAACCTGCGCCTCGTTGCCAACTTCTTGGATAGTGTGCAATTGCATACCTTCGCAAAGAAATCTGTGCTACTGTATACCAAACTTTTACGGCATTTATGTTCTTCATGTTTTCTATCAAACATTAATTTTCTAGTCTGCGCATAGGTGTAGGAAACACACACATGCGTTCACCAATCCAACCTAAGCAAACAAACGGCGCTCCGATGCAGAAAATGCCTCACGCCGATCCAAGTTCACTACATGCTGCAAAAGAACACATTCTGGCATGGACTGAGGGCTCACCGGCAGTATGGTCGTTTTTTAGCCCGTTACTTTCCACGCTGGACGGATTACTCCATTTTGTCGGTTCATGTTCTTGCTGAGTTGTCGATGTCGCCTCAAGGGACGGTGGTGCCGGTAGTGTTGGCGACGGTGGTCGCATCAATCCCGGCATTAACCAAGTCCAATGTGGCATAAATGGTGACGACAATGTTGGACCTGAAACAGGTTTTTGTGAATTAGGACTACGATGCAAAATAGTAGATTATTAGAATAACTGGTTATTTACATGAAGTAATCGGACGCAACGCGACGGGGCATTCAGGCTGTGGTGGCGGTGGCGGAGGTGCAGGACGTTTACGAGTGGAACCAAGCGATTGAGTTGGTGGTGGTGGTTGAACGGTTGGTAGAGTAGGTGCTGCAGATAAAGCACCGAGTACGGGTGATGTTGCTCCTACGACGCCATTTTGTGATAAGACGAGAAATATCGTCTGGATACACGATTTGAGCTGTTGAACCTCACTGAAAAAGGGATAAATCAAGATCTTTTGTCGTAATCAAGAAAAAGGAGGTGGTGGTGGTGGAGGAGGTGATTTGAAACATGAAAACTCACTGGAAGGGGCTTATTTCAGAATGAGTGAATGCTATGCTAGACGATGCAGTATTGGTGCAATCTTCAAAAGTTGCGCCCTTGGAAATATTATTGTTCATAGAAGAATCAGCCATGGGACGTTTGGTGCTACCCATGATACGGTTCCGTTACCAAAGCACACCCTAAGTACGCGATTAGAGTTCTAGACAAGAACGCAGGAGTACACAACACGCAGAAATCGCGTCACTCCGAACTGCGATGTTCCCGACATCGGAAATGGGCGTGAAAAAACGCGGCGGCGATGACGAAGCGCGTGATCTGCTTGCTTGCTGCTATGTGCGTGCGCGTTGCATGCGCGCGATCCGAACACATGCCGTTGTAACAATGCTTTCGGCGGCGCAAAATCGCAGCCGACAACGATTCTCCAAAAGCTACGGCGAGAGCGACTCTGATTTATTAGGAACCGCAGCAGCAATACGTTTAGAGATAGTGCGAGATACGCGTCGCTCCTAGCAAAACGACCATCTAAACAGCCAGCGAACAATGGCGGCTACGCGACCATGAATTTTCACGCAACAACTGCGATGTGTTTGTGCATGCAACGCGATCTGCACGGCATCAAAGCACAGCTCAGCGCTAAATATAGTATAGGAGCATGGCGGGGGGGGGGGGGGGGAGAGAGAGAAAGGGAGGGACAGAGAAAGGAGAAAGGAGGAAGAAAATAAAAAAGAAAATGAGAACCAACAGCAATCGCTTCAAAATCGCTTCAAAATCTTCAAAATGCGACTTACTGCCTGGACCCTTTTTATCCAAGAGTTTCTGCTACGGAGCTTTTGCTACACGAAAAAATTAAGTCATTTGTTGGCATCTTTTCTTCCGCAAAGGAAAACTTTTGCATGATGTGAACGTTTTATCATAAAATTTGGAAAAAAACTATATCTTTCATTGCTTGCTTGATTTGGAAGATAGAAAAACTGACAAGCACAGAAAAAGCCCTCATTTATAGGAGTTTTTGAAAGCATACCCTTAACCCGCTGAAGACGGCGAGGATCCGGTGCCTCTTGGTACTGTTCGCAAAAAATTCTATCAAAATTCATATCTTTCCCAGAACCCTTATGAGCCGGTTTTTTTTTTCAATAAACAATTTTGAAAGCTTTTGATTCGTTGCCGACCTCCGATGCATTCTACAGAGGAGCTCCTGAGAAAACACAAATTATCAGAAGTTCATGCTAAAAAAGTGTAAAAATCGGTCTTTGAATGGAATACAAAATGTTTTTTGAGACCAGGTCGCTTCTATATGGTTTAAATTCGATTGCTGTTGTTTTCAAAGAGATTTTACAATAACCAATTAACATTTACCTATCTGACTTAATCTACATTCTTTTCGGGTTTTATTGAAAAAAAAAGCGAAGACTGAAGAATTTGTAGGAAGGTATTCAAACTTCTTCCTTCACTTTTGTAGATGGCTTGGCCCCAGAGCTCAACATGTGTTTCCCTTCGACTAATAGCCTTTGCAATCGCAATGTATACATGTCGATCCTCGTTCTGCACCCCTGGAACGCGCGTTGATCCTAGGAAATTGAACGAGCACTCGGAGTTGATTAGACGAGCAGGCTTCATCGCCGTGCATCGCCGTGCATCGCGATGAGAACGGGAACGTTGCCTGGAGCACTGCGATTACGACGCGCGTATTCAAGTCTCATCCGTCCCGGTCTCAGTCCAGTGCGCACGAATAGCCGCGGCAGCTCCGCCGCATGCCACCAGAGCCGGCGCAATGAGCGGGCGAGTGAGCTGCCAGCAGCGTGAAACAACGATGCGATAGTCGATGTGTCGGCTCCATGGCAGCTTTTCGCCCGGCGTACTCTTTGACGAATGTTGCTGCAGCGGACACATCGTAAAATTCTCGTTGTTGATGGGTCCGGGGTGACGGCAGTTCTCGTACGAAATGCAACATATATTCACAGAGCATGGAAGCAGCGCTCGAGCTGACAAAGGCATGGCCGAAGGATGTAGTGCCGTTAGAGCTAGCTACCGGTAAGCGCCGCTGAAGCTTGAATGCTGGCATACTGTCGATTGACTTTTGTAGGAATTCTTGTTTCAAGGTAAGCACTAACTGGGGAATGCAGCAAAAATTTTTGATAGAGGAAAACAGAGCAGACCCCACAAAATGATACCAAGCTGGGGCAAAATCAATGAGTTCCATGGGATAGAAGCACAAAGTTAGAGAGCACAGTTGTAGTGTATGTGCGGCAATTTGATAGTCAGGTCTTTCCCTTTTGTAAACGCTGTAAACCATTCTTGTGGTTTAAATTACAATTGACACCCACTTACATGTATTATATGTACAACTGTATGGATTTGGCACTGAAAAAAAAACACAAACAAACGAGGTGATTAAAAATGGCAAACCCCGCCCATTTGGCCCTATACGCCTCCCACATGCTCATATATGTGTCGCACATACCATACAACAACCCTACTCTCTTGTATGCGCCAATCAATGAGAAATAACGATTCCACCTCGAAAATGTGCCAAAACTTTCTTGCCGACCCAGTATGAACCTTCTAGATCCAAACTGCAACTTGCCATAAATGTAGCGTTCACCGTCATCTATGGAACACACAGATGATGAATGTTATCTATTAGTCAAGATAAATATAAGGCTGAACGTTTGCGAAGTGATGACACACAAGCTGTTATATTTTCCCAATCCAATTATTGCAGTCACAACATCAGAGGACGTGTCCTTTTGGAATTATTCATGGAAGATAACGTCGTTCTAGCTTGTTATTTTTTCAAACATTCATAAGTGAGTCACACCATAGCAAGTTCTGCTTTGCAGTCAGTTCAGAGATGATAAACATTGACTAAAAAAAGACTTGAAGTTTATCAAAAGAATTGCCATTTTAAGGCTGAGAAGATGAAGTAACTTTTACTAAATCAAGCTGTGCAATAATTTTACAATTCTACTAAGCTTATACTTGGTTTTTATCAATCTAATTTTGGATTTGCCAAAAAGCGATAGATTAAAAACAGGGCAAAAATCTTCGACAAATTATTTTTAACACACTAAAACCCGAAAGCAACCGCTACCAGATGGGATCTGCAAGTCATCAACAAATTTGCTACTAGTCATCAATAAATAAGTGAAATATATCTTCAAATTGCATATTTGAAACGCAGAAATTTGGAAAAGGCTTTTGGAAAACATCTAGCGATGAACTTTTTTCTAATGTGGTTAAAATTTGTACGCGCAGTATCTATCCTCAAAGAAAAAACATACTTTCTAACATTAGAGCTTCAGCGCTAAGCAACAAAATCTCAATACCTATATCTTCCCAGTATAGTCGAAATAGGCACCTTTTTACAAAAAGAAATTGGACCTCGTACATTGATTGGTTGCGAAGTTTGGGGGGCAGAGAAGAAAATTACCGGTCCCTTCAAACTCGTCGCTTATCGGCGCTGCATCCCTGAACGGAGGTTCGATGGGGGGTATGCTATACGAGCGCGCGAGCGCGGACGGACGAGAAAGGGGTGGTTTGGGGTAAGAGCGAGCGCGAATGTCTGCCGAGAAAAGTGGAGAAAAGAAAATTTACTGTTTCAGACACCATAAATTTCACCTAGGATCGGATCCGCTTGCAAAATGGTGCAGAATGTCGGCGAATAGGAGAGTTGGTACGTAAGTCTCGAGCTAGGTAGGTAAACCTCGCGCGAGGTATATCTATGGCCGTATTCATCAACGAAACCCGTGGGCTCCGGAACCCACTGGGTTAGTGATTGTGATGAATATCGATTCTACTCCAGGGAAGAATCGATATTCATCAAAAGCACTAACCCAGTGGGTTCCGGAGCCCACGGGTTTCGTTGATGAATACGGCCCCTAGTGAGCGTCAATCGTCGCAGCTAAGTGAAAAAAGCTCCACAGTGACGTCATGACCCATTTTTTTGACCTCCTCAACCCCTACTCAGTTTTGAGAGTCCCTTGCCCAGACACCACACTCGTACACTCGTCTATATCATGCAGCCGAGTCTGACTAGTTGCGAACAACGCTGTGCCGCGGAGGGAATTGTTTATAAAACGGCAGGTCCCTCGTCAGCCGACGACGTACCAGATCGAAACGACCTTGAAAACGGGGCATTTTTGAACGCACTCCACCCGCACGGGGATGGCTATGCAGAGCCACACATGAAAATGAGATGCGTTGAACGCGAGAAGAAACGTCAGAGAGTAAAGGACCTTCGCGTGAAGAGAACGAATAATACGTAGAGTTTTAGAAATTAGAAGTGTGTAGATTCCAGTGAGATTTCATGTTTCAAAAGAGCAATCGTCATTGAGGGTGTTGGACGGGGGAACAAAGTTCACTAAATCCACTTACTGCCTGAGTAGTTTGCATTCGGAACATGCGGCGGGTGCGCCAGCAGAACTTGCCGGCGCATCCCCGTCAGCCGGTCTCCAATTTCCATCTACTCCATTGTGTTGGTGTAACTGAAATAAGCTAATACTAGTTTTACGATAAAAAAAACGCGAGAAAAGAAAAAAAAGGAAACAATAGGACAAAAATTTGGTTCCTTTTAGCTCTACAATAACATATACGTAAACAAAAAGCCAAAAATCTATTTTGTTGAGCAGAAACGCCTTTTACATCAATGGAATTTGATGGCTTTGGATTTGTCTATAATTACGTGACGGTTGTAGAAAGCAGCTAGGCAGCGTATATTCAATAGCTAAACCCTAATAAGGTACTTAAACTAGCTAAATAGTTTTAGCCAACAAGTCTTCAATTATTTCGAACACTAATATTTCCCAGTGAGGAAGAAAAATCTTTTTGTAATGCCTACAACTGAGTGACGCATGGATAACATTATAGCAAAGCTTTGAATCTTGACTCTGAAGATTATTTTCTATGTTTCATTTTCCAAAAAATTTCCCTTATAGCGAAGCACCTAGTTAACTCAGAGTTCCACAGAAAAAAAACTGTGAAGAAAATTATTTATAACTTAAATTATGTGGGTAACTCTTAATGCTTTTGTTCTGGCAGTGCAGCAATGGATGGAACTTCTTTCAGATAAAGTTCAAAAAACCGGGGATGATTTTAAGTTTATTTACAGTAAATTTAACTTGAAAAGCAAGGTAAAATAAATTTTAGTATTACCAAAATTAGACGAAAAAATGGCAATCTTATTACATTGTATAGTGGTATATTCGGAGAAGATTTTCAAGGTGGAAAGTATTTCTACAATATTTTTTTTACGTTCCTACCCCTTGTCTTCCCCTCAATCTTCAGCCCGAAATAATAGCCACTCTCAGCGATGTCCTACTCGCATGACTAAAGCCATCTAAGCTGTTCGCGATTCGGTTTTGCCTCGCCGTCCAGCCATCCGACGGAGGCTAATTTAGTAAGCGCTGGCGCGAGTTCTCGTTTTCCAATGCGATCACGCGAGTTGGTCTTTCAACGTACACAAATCTATACGAACACGCTCTCGGGCTGCGGCAACAGCCAGCCAGAGAGAAAAGCTATTCTCCTCGGGCCTGACACGCCTACGATAGCCGTCTGGCTCGGGCATTACTTGTAGTATTTTTGTGGTTGAGCATAGCTGCTAAAATTTCGCGGAATTTTGGTATCATTTGCATATGAATACATGCTTAAGAGGAAAATTTCGCGCCGACATCGACAACGACATGTGAAACCGGAATCGGCCGGTCTCGGCTCAGAAATGACGACGCAGGGATCCTGATTTTCGAAGAGGAACTCAAGCGGCGACCACGCTTAGCAAAGAGAACGCATGATTGATTCGGATCCTGGGAAAAGTGGTATTTTACCATGAAATACAGTCACTACGGTAGTACGACAGCGGTGATAATTTTTCAATAAATTATTAAGTGAAAATAGCGACATATTATCGACAAAACAAGCGATAGTTTCCAAAAAATTCGTGAGAATAACCTTAACCAAACATAAAAACCCTTATGCACCCAGATCAAAACTAGCAAAAATAAAACGAAAAAATATGAGCGCGATAGGTAACACAGAAATGTCTAACTTCTCTCTCTTCTTTTTTTTCTTTTTTGCCCCCCCCCCTCAAGCTAGTCATAATTGTTATACAAAATATTTTTACAACGCACCAGGAATTGCGAATACATCTTGCACAGAACGTTAGAGGAACTAACAAGCTTTTGTATAAATTGAATCATCATCGACAATGAAGATGCTTATGTTTCTAAATAGGCGTTTCATTCAAGACCTGAGCGTCAGCATTTCTATATTTGTTGAAACATGTACAGGAAGGAGGAATAGAAACTCAATATTTGCTGGAACGAGAAACAGCAGAAAATCATAGTTTGGAGCAATATTAGTGGTTTACATGAGGAGAAAACGGTGGTAAAGTGAATAAAAATAAATATAAAAAATTCTTACGTTGCTAAGAAATGCTTGAATATAATTGAAGTTGTAAGCAGTATGGAGGGATGTGGGACCGGCGGACGCCAGCGTGGATAGACGACTAACTGCACAAGAAACGCGCGAACACGCTGCGGAGAGAGTTCGTCGCCGTCGGAGCGCCGAGGCGCTGCGCGTGCCGATAGAGTTGAAACGCCGTGCTGAGCGCCGAGATGCGGACAGCCGGCTGCCTGCAACGCCGAGTCAGTGCGGCTTCGTTGGAGCGCACGGCGCGTGAGAGCGCCGAAAAACGTGTGAATAATGAGAGAGAGAGCGAGCGCGATCGTCGAGCGCAGACATGTGCGCGATTCGAAAATCTCGCGCTATCGCTTCGAATCGCAAAAAGAGAACATGTGCGCCAGCGGCGCTCGCCGAGGCTGCTGCGGCTGGCTGCATGGCTGGCTGGCTGGCGGCGTCCGCTCCAGCGATACTAGGGGAGAGAACGTGTGAAATATCGCTTGCACCTCGGAGCGAGATGTGTTTCACATTCTCATGGTGAAGTACAAAGAGTGAAGTAGGAAAAGTATTCTCGTTGCCTGTTCACAAATTTTTAGAGTTTTTTTTACCTCATAGAAAAAATGCCACATCTGACAATCTCGTCTTCGCCCTCTCTCTTCTTCCGGACTGTTAAATCTTCAATATAAAGTCTGTTCCAAAGGCTTGCAACCCTCAGGGAGGAAACTTATAAGCGCTAGAAGATGGATTTCACTGAGTGTGACATCACTTGACGTTTGAAACGCTGCCCATAAAAACGAAAAGTTAGTTGGAATCCTGTACTGGGAGGCTCTAGCTCTTACTGAACGAAAAGCTTTAGAGGATTTGCTCAGTGTAGCATTTTTTTTTTGAGATTGGAGATTTTCATAACCCATTCTTTGAGAGTTCGAGCCTGAGCTCTTCAGCTTGCATTCTGAACCTTCTTGCGCGTCTCCGCGTGATTTCTCTCTATATGCTTTACGATTTGATTTTGTCTTTGGCAGCCTTGTCCGGTCTCATGACTATAGTCGAAACCGCGACAGTAGTTGCCAGAAATCTTCACGGCACGCCAAGGGCTTACGACTACGGAACACTTGTTTACTTCCATTGTTCCGAAGTGGCAATCACCTGATAGCAAAAACGCGTTATCAGCCACGATGTCTCACTACGCACAAGTTTTACCGCGCTTACGTTCTCACTATCGCGTAGGAACCTGTCATCTTTTTTGGCAGAGAGCCAAGATGTTGACAGTTTCTTCAATCCGAGAATCTCAGCGCAATTCATCGCAGTAGAGTTTCAAGTTGACATTTGTGTTGTGAACGAGCGCGACCGTGAAGACGACGACAACGTCCTTGCGTGCGGGCGGCGCGCATTGTGTGTAGCGCCTAGCTGAAAAGAACAACTAGTTTTCGAACGATTCGCGCGGGCGCTCGCACGTTCAACGCTCACATTCACAATAAATATCCGTAGATGAGCGTTTCCAGGCGCTTGGCTATCCTTTACGGAAGTACGGCTTCAAATCCAGCAAAAAAAGGTTTACCAAGTTCAAAGCCGCAAGAATCGCGTATGCGAAGTTACCCGAACCCACCGCGATTGACGTAAGCGACCGACAAGCAAACGTTCTGCGATCCCCAAACTCCTGCGAAAAAGATCGCAGCGGAACTCGAGCTGCTTTCTACAGCTAACGGCTGAGATCAATCGAACGCTGTTCTGGATTGCGATCGGAATCAATCGCGAAAAAAGAGCAAATATAGCAGAAGAGATGGTGAACGCGGCGATTTGCACACCATGTGCGAGGGAAATCAAGGATAATGCTGGCTGTAGAATGCCAAATTCTTATAAAAAAATATCTAGAAGTCGTGGGGTTTTCGCTTTGATTTCGCTCCACCAAATTTCACATACATTCATCACATAGTGGATATGGCACATGTATGTCTCATATTTTTTTTATGCATGAGATTGTTTATTTATTTATTTATTTATTTATTTGAATTTTTGAAAAAAATCAGTATTAAAAATACAGAAACAAACAAGGACTGACGCAGAAAAATGAGATTGCTTTTATTGAGATTATTGATTAATTCCTTTTTTTTAGATCATTCTAAAAAAGATGCATATGTCGTTGTATAGTTGACCAAAATTTGTCTCGGAAACTAAATTATGTTAAATTTCAATAACCTTTGGCAGTTATAATTCTACAAGATATTCCTGCTTTCAGTCACCAAATTTACACAACAAAAATTGTCAAGAAATGAGTACGAAATTTGCACAACGCTTACCTTCAACTAAAAATCCAACTAAGCTTCTCCCAGAATGTCAAACATTTCGAGAGCAATGTCTCCTTTGAAGAAAATACTGGATGAAATTAGAAATTTGTAAATAATTGCGAACATTATTTTGGTTGAAAGAAAAAGATGCAAAGATAAAAATGGCATTGCTTCGGAAATCAAAAATTAAAAAGTTGGAAAAAATTCAAAAATTCATAAGTTTGAAAAGTAGGAGACATTAGATCATAGGCTTACGAAACATTCATCGACCTTGAGCAGATCACATGAAAACAAGCAATAAAATCTGATGCCTATTAGTTGATAAAGATTGTCTTCTGCTCAGTTAATACTTCAAGGTATGCTCCAATACTTCAAATGCGTAAGCTTGAGACGGAACAATCATCTGAGTAAAGCAAATGAGGGCTGTAAAATCGATTCAGGTATAGATCGTTAGAAATCTTTTCCCGCTATGGCCCTCATCCAGATTTCTAGAACATTCTTTGGCGCTATATATACCAGGAACCTGGAGAATTTGGACGATTTTGAATCCCTGTATGGCGAACAGCCGCTTATCATATCATTCGTTATCTTCTATCATTGCCTCATGTTGATCCTGCCAATGGATTTCTTTGGTCAACTTGTTTGTGGATCTTATCAAGGCAGAATTATTTCTTCAATCAGCAAAATGTTTTGATAGTTTGGACGATTACGATACATTTTTCAGACTAATTCCTGGTAAGGATGGCTCTGTTTCCAATCGACCGCTACATGGACGACTTCATGAGGCTCGATCGCTGTCCAAGAATGGGCATGATGCCAACGGAAAGGGACTGGTTCAGACCGATAATGCCGTACTGGAGAGATGCTGATCACTCAGTCCTTCACGTCGGGAACGAGACGAAAGAAGTCGTGAACGATGAGAAGAAGTTCGCTGTTTCGTTGGATGTGTCACAGTTCAAACCGGAAGAGCTGAAAGTACATCTTGATGGGCGTGATCTCACTATTGAAGGAAGACAAGAAGAGAGGACAGAGCATGGTTTCATTGAGAGGTTTGTATAACTTTTTTCTCATTTTCCTACGGTTATTAATCTTTTTTTCCAGGTCCTTCACTCGCAAATGGTCCCTTCCAGAAGATTGTGATGTGGATGCCATCCAAACCCATTTGACTGACGTTGGCCACCTTTCAATCGAAGCTCCCAAGACTGGCCAACATACTAATAGAAGAGTTATCCCAATTATGCCAGCTCCAAAGAGGAAGTGATATAGCAGAGTTCTTGTACAAATGCGATGAGTTTTATCATTTTTTAACACAAATAAAAGTTATTAACGTAAAGTCTGGCATTTGGAGGGAAGTGATCTTAGCAAGAAGTTGCTGAGGAGCATATTTGCAGCTATGTGGTGAAGTTAGCAGCCGGATTTTGGTGCTGGTGGGAAGTAAGGGAAAATGCAATAGAAAAGTGTCCAAATCGACAATTCTGTCTTCAACAAATTTTCAAAGAACTTCGGCTGTGATTCTTGTATGAAACATTTGCGAGTGCTGAAGTGACGAGGATTCCGAAGGTAGTCAAGTCTTACACCGTCTTTCATTTCGTACTTGAAAAATCAACTGCTACTGTAGAAATATGAATGTCATAGAAACTCAGGGATACTTTCTTTTGATGTCTCCAAAATCGTTCAATAATGCCAATAAGAAAATAATGGCGGGGCAAAATGAATGGAGAGGAAGCGAAATTGATGGTGCATGGTGTGCTACTTGCTTGGCGTCTTACTAATTCTAGTGATGATATTTTTTGTATGAGGTTTTTTCTTCATTCCGCTTGTCAAAAAAATAGCATTTGAGAAATTTCTGTTAATTGTCGAATATAGAAGGAACTACTTCTAGGCTGAGCAGAGCGCAAATGCAAATTTGTTGCTTAATGGCTTGTACACGGCGGTAAGCTTAAACTATGTTGAGTTAAAATGCAAGAGAAGCACTAGGTGTGAATTTTTCAAAGCCACTGGGGAATTTTCATGATGGCTGTGAACATCGTCTCTCAAAGCTTTTTCACTGGAAGCTTTTTTGGTGACGTTGATCGTCGTAAACGTAATTCGAAGATTGTTGATAGAGGAAACTCTGATCACATACACAGTTTCGGCTTGATTTGTGTGATTCAGACTGAGAAGGGCTTTATTTTTGGTTTTTCCACCCTTGAGGTTTCGGATTTGACCAGCTTCCAAAAAATGAGTAAATTTTCTCCATTTCGCTACCAAAATAGACTGTTTGCGCAGGTTTGTACCCTAGTATCTAATCTACCTTATGCCCGAAAAGGAATGCGTCATAGTCAAGAAGAAAAAAGTTACGAAATAAGATGCAAAACTTATGTGCTAACCGGTGGCGTACCTAGGATTTCGGCTCGAACTTCGTTTAGATGTAGGAAAAGCCTAGCTATTCAACTTAGTCTCTCATATTGGAAGGATACATTTGATAAAGGCTAAAACTTTGCTTCAGCTTGTCTCTATTTCATTATAGATGGAAGCTCAAATAGTTATGTGGGTTGTACACAATATGCTATTGCGCTTGAATGCTAGATATAAACCCTAAATGTTTCCTCCTAGGAAACTTCATTGAACGTCTTTATATTACACTTGCAAGTGTCTGGGAAAAAGAAGGAAATTTCACCTTGAAATCTGAGTCATACTGGCCGGTAATATCCTGGATTCGACGAGCAATGTGCAGGTTATGTGCAATCGCATACATTAGACTGCAGATCTGGTAACATATCAGAGTGGTGCGAATACTATGCTATAGGTGCATACTTTTTCTAAATCAAGAGACCATTTGCCAAGGAATGGCAAAAAAAGTCAATATGCCTATAAATCCAGAACAAAGCTTATTTCTAAACTGATCAAGGTAGTGAATTTGAAAAACTGCTTTTTAATGAATGGAAATGACCAGGCGCCAGTTTACGGCTGTTGATTGAGAGCTCGTCTAATTGGTACTCATCACAGTTTTGAAAGACTGAAGATTCACCGGTATTCCTAATTTGTTTCGATGCAAGGTGCAGCAATGTCACATTTAGACCGGAAGCTGACAATCACATTAAATTATAAAAACGGTTTTAGGTTCAATACAGCAGTGTAGTGAATCACAGTTTCCGTCAAGTGGTCAGCACGCGGATTATATTTAGAGGTTACACAAGACCATTTACAGACCTAAAAACCGTAACTTTGCAAGTCATTGTAGCAGAAAATTGATAATAAAAGTATCATAGCAAAAAATGCAGGATCTATTTCGATTTACGTGAATTGCAAAGGGTACAAACACGTTGTCCTTTAAAGCAAAAAGAAAATTAAGTGCGACTCTGAACAATTATGTGGCAATGCTGCAAAATTTTTTTTGAAATTTGCGTAATAACTCATATAATATAGTCAATCTTACGTTTGCTTGGAGCTGTGTAATGGGTGGCTTTGTGGAATAGAAATTTAGAAGCCAGGTATCCTTTGGAAGTCTGAAGCCTGATCCAATAATCGACTACGTAGATATGGTAACGCCCTTCATTTGCTCACCTTTAGATCAATATATGATTAGATTATATATTTGTGGAATAACAGATTATGCAGATCAGTAATGTTACTCTATTAGAAAAAGTAAACAAATTTTCCGTCAAATTAAGCTATCATCTTCGATCTCTCAAGACTGACAGATTCCTTTATTTAAAAACCATGAACTTTACTCTACTTTACTTTGCTCACTCTCTCTTCACTCAACTTTACTCTTGCTTACTTTATAATCTAAAGGTGAGCAAATGAAACGAGTTACCATATTTAGGTAGTCGATTAATGAATGATCAGGCCTCAGACTTCTCAAAGGTTCCTGGGTTCCTGGTGTCTAAAATTTGGGTTATTCAAAAAGTAGAGCAGTACCTATACGTAAAACATCACTTTTTATAAGGTTTTTCGTCTCTTACTATTCGCGATCCTCCAAAGCTGAAGTATTGATAGTTACTCATTTCAGTGATGTAGAGTCCATCTACGTCATTTTCATGCTGTCAAAAATCTTACATTTCCGAGAAAAGATAAGACGGTACGTTTTCTGAAAAAAAAAAGATCGTCTTTTTGAACTATCGTGATAAGAATTGCGCTGCTTCCAATACACGTTATGTGGACCTTATAGGGGTAGGAATCCTTGATGGACTTGATTTTAATAGTGAGGGAGGACGGGAAAAAGAAGACCGAAAAATTCTTCAACTTTCTAGCCTGTCGTTTTTGGCTTGTGTAACATTAGATCATCCTCGAATATTCTGTTCAAAGTTTCGAAAAAAACTTCGATTACATAGAACAGGGCAAACCTTGTTTAGTGCAAATGTGTCTCAGGCCTTTCGAAACTAGCCTTTCGGAGCCTCTCGAAATGTTTTTTTCAAAAGCCTTTCCTGCCCAAAAAATTAGGTAAAACAAAAATGCACCAAACGCTACAAACTGTTTGAAATGCGGGATCTTGGAGCATGATTTATCATCGAGCCTTGTCTTTGCAAAGTTATCATGCGTTCGCTTTAAAATAGCATAGTTTAGAATTTTTAACCGTTAAAAGCCCTAGAATTTGAACTTCAAACGCTTTGGGTTAAAAATTTCTTTAAGAAGAGATGCGAAGTTCTCACTACTTTTGACTCATCCTAGTATTACTTCTCAGAACTAGCTTTGATACAGAATTGCGCAGGACTGGGTAGAAGCTCTGCTTCATATCTTGTAATTCACTTGATCCTGGTCAGTATTTGATAGCAGTCTTTGATCTTGAGCTTACTACCTGGTGATAGAATTAGAAATAAAAGAGTATTGCTTGTTAACGCAAGTTCTCTTATTTTCACCCATGATTGCGAATTTAGAAAAGACTATCTGTTAAAGAGCTATATATCCGTGCAAAACGTTTGCAAACCCTGAATTAATTATCTCTTTCGTTCGACTCTGTCATGGTGCGGAACTTCCGGGTCCAAAGTGATTTCAGATAATCACCGTTTTCATGGAAAGGTTGAGCTAATGGCGGCATCAACTCAGTTCTTTAGCAACCGTCTGTCTGTGCTATTTTATTTTGTTGTTCTCGGCAAATAACTATTTTTCTAGAGAGTGTGGTAAAAATCTTTGCACAGACTATTTTTTTCATGATCCCTTACAGATTGTCCTGCATTTGTGAATGCGATCTTTAGACTAGCAGAAAAAGTAGAGAAAATACTGCGATTGTTATTCAATGATTGTTTTTGATTTGAATTAACCTCCATGATTTGATGATCGTGGGAGTAAGCAATCATGACCACTTCCTTGTCAAAAATAGCTCTCAGGAGGTTTCAGAATGTGTTCATCTTTGGCAGCTTCAGGGGCTTTCAAACTTAGTGTCACTGTCGGCGCGGCTCGGATCCTCGCGAGCCGCCTCGCTTGGGCCACTCGACACGTTCGCGAACCTGTCTCGGGACATTTTCCCAAGCTCGTCATCCAAATTTTGCATCAACTTGACTCCTCTAGTTCTAATTTCAGAATCTGATTTTGCACACAATGTGAGCATTGCACGTAAAATCCTAGACTTCATTTTCCATTATACACAGCACCTAGTCGACTTTACTAGATGATTCGGATCCTAGCAGGTGTAAAGCCAATGAAAGGCACAAAAGAATCCGCAAGGCCAAAAAACCTGGATCCTACGCACAATGTGTTTTTGTGCAACAGAAATTATAGACTGAATTTAGTTAACTGCATCAAATTGATCAAATGATATTTGTTGAAGCTTAACACTTATCTCAAGCACTAATAATTATCGCAACAAAGATTCTATGATTGTTTTTGCAGTAAAATGGAGTTCTAATGCAAACAAGCTATTAAAGCTTTTGCGTACGTCACTATTCTCAATTTGTCAATGCAGAGGTGTATCAGTTTCGCAATTAGATCGGAAATGGACAATCACTTTACATCAGAAGATCATTTGGTTTGTGGGCTATTTCGTCATGTGATCGACACATGAAGCTAAGTTAAAAGTTTTGAAAGACTTGAACTGCTTTGAAGCAATGACCTTGTGGGTGTTAACACCTTGAGTCGAAATGTTACGAAATTTGCATGATATTGCAATTTTGAACAGCTTGGAAATCTCAAAACTGCAAAAAAAATAGAGGTGCAGGTCTGTTACAATCTTGCAAAATGGAATATGAGAAATTTCACGGTACTCCAGGTCACTGCTACGTTACTGTAGAGATGAAAATTGCAGTGCTCAATTTTTCGCAAACACTCAGTCTTGGACTTAAAAATGGGAGGGACAATTTTAGAGGAGTCCGTGTGTACCACGCTGAAATGACTTATGTTAACCTCGGATCTGCAAAAAATTCAAATCATTTTTAAATGCAGCTGAGATTTGGAATAGCTTTGTAAGTCATTTGAATCAAGATCGAAGATAAAATCTTCACCCGCAGAACTTCAGAAGGCCCTTAAGAATTTTGAATACTTGACTAAGGCCAACTGCGTTCGAGAAAAATTTCCGTTGAGCCTTATCAGAAACTTTCTGAAACTGTTACTGCAACACTAGTAGATGTTCTGCGAATTCTAGGCAGACATTCGCTTCTCTTTGGCAAAAGAGTATTTTCAATCTATCGTGTGCTGAATTATAGTTTTTCTTTGCTTGAATAGCATAGTGAACATTGGCTTTATTCCTAGGGTCATTGCTAGCAAGTCAGGCAGAGTTTTTTCTGATACTTTCGCTAATTAAAGATCTCTTAGTTGTCTGTAACGACCGTAAACCTTCTTCAAAAGATTCGTATAAAAAGCTTCCTTTGCACAGAATGTGACCATTGACAAAGTTGATAGTGAGTAGTCAAACATCAATTTGGAAAACTCTCAAGTGGCATTATCTGCACCTTTGTTCTGGAAATCATCAATTATCACTGAAGATAAGTAAACTGTCGACCCTGAGCTTCTTTTCGTTTATTGTCCTTTATATCTGAAGTTAGATACTTTTTTGAAAGTTTTATAGAGGAATTGGCTACTGCTAGCTTATACAGACCATTACGACGGAAAACGACCGTGTGGCCCGACCACCGAGTGGGCGGCGTTGGTCCAGCAGCTTCCAGACTATGACATGAAGAAAACCATTTCTATTTGGGTTTATAAGTTCTAGTATTTCTGAGACAATAGCTTGTCTGAGGATCTGTTATTATTAAATGCTGATAACATTTGAGTTTTATTTTCCTGACTTTACGATCTTGAGTGGATATCAACAGCATGTATACTATTTAGATATCCATTCAAAAAAGTGGTTGTTCTATGAAGAAGGCGGTGTTAAGAGGCGGCCACAGTTGTCCCCTCATCCAATATCGAATGCTCGCTGGTTTAGGCTTTCTAATCCGTGCCTGATTGGCTGATTGCTCCACCAACTCCGCCCATTCAGCATGGTCTAATAATGCAGAGTTTCGGCACTCCAAGCTTTAGAGTACAAACTATTTATAAGGTGTGCAGCTGCTTCAAGAGCGTGGAAACCCATAGGTCTGCCGATAGCCTTGAAGATGCCTTTGATTTCTCCCCGAGGCTAAATCTCAAGCAGTTGCAGAGCAATTCTTGTAATGTGACGTCATGCACACTCTCAATCATATTTTTCACCTGTTCATTTCCAACTTGTAGAAATCCAGTACTCAAGCCAAATTAGATTCGGGTCGATTCGAGTTCCAATGGAGCGCGCAGTAACCGCAGCGAGTAATCGAAAAGCTAAAATTGACTTTTGCTGCTGATTCACGAATGACAGGTGAAGTTTAGCGAAGCCATTTACGAGATAAAATACTAATCTGCTTGATGAGTACATATTTCTAATTTAGAAACTTTGACACTACTTTGAACAAAAAATAGATTGAAAGAAAATTATGAACTCCGTCAACTTCATCCCTGCCCTGACTTCGGCTGAAATGGTGTAACGTCATATTTCCTTGCGATTGCCCTCCGACGGAAGAAGTCTAAATTTGGAAAAGAACAGAAGTACTTTTTCTAAAGCGCTTAGTATAAGGAACAAATCAAATTGATTTCTTGCTCATTCATTCGTAAAATTTGCGGAACGTGCACAAAATATTGTAAAGGTAAAATCGAATTACGGAGTTGACATCGTCGAACAGAACTACCGGAGTAGTTTTTGTCGCCGTTGATTAGGATGTGATTGTTCAATATTTTTTTCCTCAACCGTTTCTACATTAAGTAAGCAAGATACTGCTGTTTATATCTGGAATCATGCTATGCTTGACTATGCATTATACATAGACATTGTTGCTACAAAAGGTGTTTTTTGACAAAATACATCGTCTACATCCTACTCACTACAACCAACTATCATAGTAGCCATAGTTCCCTCTTTCGACTTCAATGTAAGTTATTAGTAATGTGAAGCTTATAAAAACTGTCTGAGATGACTATCACCGTACGCAATATCCGAAAATGCACAAAGACAAAGAAAAGTTGCTCCTTGTGTATTCTAATGATGAATGCAAAGGATTCGGGGCACGAATAAACGGCTATGTAAAATATTTTTGGTATTTTTTTTTTAGCTTCTTAGCTTTTTTTTGGATTAATGTATCTCCCTTCGTGCATTTTCGTTTCAAAATGAAAGAAACGTCGTTATAGCTTTCGCAATATGATTTGATCGAGTCTTGTAATCCAGAGTAATGTCATGTATGGATCTGTATGTAATAGCGAGAGCTCAAAATTTCGGAGTAGATTTAAAAGTGTAGCTTTCTGGAATCATAATATCTGACATGTATGATAGATAGTTCTTGGTCTTGTCAACTTGATTATTAAATCTTACTTCTACGGTCTGCAGTGTCTTTGACGGCGGTTACCTAATTCTTTGCAAAAAATCGCTTTCTTCTTAAGGAAATTCCGGAAAAAGGAAAGCTAATAGTAACGTGATTTTTCTTTGAATACGAGCCAAGCAATACCCCCACTATCAGTGCCTATAGGTTATCAAAATGCTAATTGAGGAAAATTGTTAAGAGTATGTCTTCCATGTTTCCTGCATTCCTCTGGTTATCAAATGATGTATTGCATGCTTTTCAAGATGAGATAACTTGATCTTTCTTCTAAACTGCTTCCTCAAAATTAGAAGCTGCCTGTAAACAAAGAATAAAAAAGCTACTCATCTTCAATATTACATCTATGCAACAAGCTAAAAGTGGAAAAGAAATTATGGAGAATTACGTGTAATAGCGGGAAATAACAGATACAGTTAATCCAAGTTGGCAATTTTGTACACAATTTGTGCGATAATTGCCCAATTACAAAAGAGTTCATTTCTTGTTGAGTTCTGAGCTACCGAAAGACCCTTCTGACCTTAGGAAGTGATAGCTTTCCGATATGTCGTAATGAGTCTCAATACGAGAATTAACTTTCAACTAAGCAAGAATGGGATACTAACTTTACTAAACAAGGATGTCCTGAGGCAGCGTGCAATTGTGTGAAAGATCCACATCCACCACATCGCGATTAACAAAACGAGTTTTGTATCTCAGCCTTTTGAGAATTTTATTAGGTTTTGAGCTGCAAAAGTTTTTTCTAGAATCCTAAGCTCCTTTAGCTGTTTCAATTCATCTAATTGTAGATTCTAGTGAGGAACAATTACGTTTCCTAGTGAGACTTCATGCAAAATTTATGGTCATTTCGCTGCTATACAAAGTGATTGTGAAAAACATCGTAATTATATTTCACTTGCTAAAAATGCTGAGGTGTCTTAGACAAACGGATATATGGATTTAGCCCTCTGAGTATCTCTTGCTAACCAAGGAATTCTGCGTTGATCGAATTCTCTGAATATAGAAAACAGTTATAATTCTCATATGTTCATTTTTTTTCTGGTTGTACAAAATAATTTCTTCATTGCATATCATGGAAAGGAACCTTCCGGCATATATGAAAAAATGCATAAAAATTGAACATCGTTCTAAATCAAGGAATTTTTAGCGCAGGATGTAAGCAGCCCAATTTATGCGTTTTACAAAGTTGGGGTTGAACTTAAAACAGACTGTATGATTTTTCATTCTCGACTCTGCTCCATTTATATCAATTTTATATACAAGAAACTTTGAGAACACTTAGCCCTCTCAATAATGAAAACCTTGGGAAGAAATTCGCTTTTTCTTCAGTGAACATAAGAAAACTTTGAAATGCAGGAAAATAGTGAAGTGGGCACATTGTCAGTAAAGAAATTGTGCCGAGCCGACTCGCATGACTAGGTTATCATTTCATTTGCCAACCCGACTTGTTTACTTGCTTACTATTTACTCTTTCAACTGAACACGATTTTGCAGCCGCCGTTCGCGTATTACGCCTCACTCAAACAGATTTTACACAAACAAAATCTGGGCTACAAACTGTACTGTAGTTTTGCTTTGTAAGAAACTGTACTCCTTACCGATGTCATTACTGTTTTTATAACTTCTTTACTTCATATGGAGTTTATGGAGATGGGGTATGGACAGTTTGAGTTGCTTCGAACCTCTTAATATATTTTTTGTGAGTGTCTTTTTGCTAGAAAACTACTTCCGGCAGAGCACATGAAGGAACCACGTTGAGAGAGACCTCCAAAAGCTTTAGAAGAGAATTAAGTCAAACTAGGAGCGGAACCTTTTTCACTTAAGAGTTTTTTTTCGTCCGTCGGTCCCACCCACATAGTTGATGTCGTTTACTAATATGCGCTTTGGTGTAGACACGAGAGAACAGAGAAAGAACCCGCCCCTACCCTCCCCCCACATCTTCCTCGACCATCATCGTCATCAGCTCTATAGACAGACACTTAACTTTTATATTACTATGATTATGTTGTGACATCTTAAAGCTTTCATTAAAGGGTCCAGACTTTTTGACTTTTCGCCACTGAACTTTCTATAGTAGCATGTACTATATGGCTTGGTTGTTAGGTACCCCTTCTCGTTCAGTATTTGTATTGTGTTTACTTTTCTCAATATTTTAGATATTATTTTAGGGGATAATGATCGTATTACTATCACTGATCAGTCTCCTCGCTAGTAGTTGGGCGATTTGTGAGTATTTTTTTCAAACATAAAGTGTTCAAAAATTTCAAATCTTTCCATCAACTGTTAGCTAGAAAAATTATTTTGTCTTTTTGTGCCTACGACTGCAGTTTATATCTAGGGCTTAGCAAACCTTAAAACTTCATAATAACCTCAGAATTAACTTCTCTACTAAAACGCTAAATAATTTTAGCATCGACTTGTTTTTACTTGCCAAATATCAATCTGAAAGGTGGCACCTACGACGAATTCGACGCCAGTGATATCACTCAATGTTGCATACAATGTGCAAGTCAACCATGTTGTGCTGGATATACATATTCGAAAGCTTTAAAGAGGTAAATCTACTCTTTTTCTCACGTCCAGAGCTAGAGAAGTTAGTAAAGTTATTAACAAAGTTCTACGCAATCGCATGTTGTTTAGCGAATAGTACACAAAAACAGCCTAATAATCTTGAGAAAGTGAGACGAAAATGCGAAAAGGATGTATTTTTAGGTGCTACATGAAGTCCTCAATCAATTATTCGGAACAAGAAGATATGATGATAAGCGGTATTCGTGCCAATGCCAATGGAGGTTAGACAGTTTAATTAGTGATTTCGCTAGGTATAATTCAGATAGAAACTGTTTGAATACTCATTTATTGTAAACACTTCTAAAATCATTCCTTCACCTTCATTATATCTTTTTGCTCAATTGAACTGCATGTTTCTATATTTATGCCATAAACTAGATGACCGAACCAGGAAGCCCAATATTCGTTTAGCTTTCATGCGTAGGCTTGGCTCCAACGCAAAATGATGCTCTTTATATGATTACGCTGCTATAGCTTCAGGTGTTGGTGCGAAAATGAAAAACGTAAAAATCGAAGGTAGTGGAGGCAGCCGGATTCCCCTGGAGAACTCGGACGAATGCCAGCAATATTGTACAGGTAAGAAATGCTATAATATATTTATTATCTTATCTGGCGCTTACAAGATGCATACTTTTGTTTCACGAAAAAAACAGAGCTTCAGAACTAATAAAATCACTGGCTCACAGCAAAAAAAATCTTTTTCAAAGAACTTCAAAACCAAACACAAATTTTGTTAGGTCAAGATTTGTGTAATGCTACCTTATCCAGGTTTTAAAGCTAATTACCTAAATTCTTAACTCCAATCGCCCACAGTAGAAAAAGTTGCTAAAATTTATCTTTTTTTCCATACCAGAGGTCACGAATAGGGTTGCCAGACATTTCATAAATTGTTGACCTATTTTTTATCTCTCAAATGGATGTCGGGAGTTTCTAATTGCTCGTAAAATAGTCTGTTTATAGCTCGCTAAAATGATAATGGACTTCCGGTTAAACTAAAACACAGTTCATTTAATGTCAGCAACATTCTTTTGTTGTCCATTCTCCACTGTGCATTTGTTCCTTATGGTTTATTCTTTTCATTTCCAAGAGATATAAGGTTGTTGCAAATAATGTCCGTTTTGCCACTTTGAATGGCTATAATTTTGTCCAGTCTTCATATTTTTGAATGCAATCAGACCATCAAAAGCAGTAAACCTTTTCTAAACTGACGCGCACCTGTATATAGATATCCCAAAGTGGAAGAAAACCATGCGTCAAAAAAAAACAGAAAAAAAATACATTGATTTTCCCTTACTTGCCTCCTAGTGCGTTGTCTCTACCGCAACCTTTCTAAATCGAGATGCTTTTTGTTGTTGAAGGGGCAGAATTAGCGATCGTTGATGTGTTTATATCCGTTGACTTCTTCGTGCCCGTTCTGGTCATTCGAAGGCCGTTACAGGAAGCCGCAGCACAACGGGGTGAATCGGTTAATGAGCGCTGTAGGTGGAAAATTGAGTCTTCTAACGTGATATCGGCTCGAAATCGCGACACATCGGCCATCAACAGGGGTGGCGCGCGGGCGGGGGCTGTGGCGGGGGTGCGCGGGGCGCGCGTGGGGGGGGGGGGGTTGTGCCGCTTCGCCTCCTTGGATGAGGGCGACCGCCATCATCGCCATTTCCGGCGAGCAAGGAGAACCTGTCGGTACGACCATTCGCGACCGTTTCCGCTCGCTTCCATAATCAAATTAGAGACGCTCGTCCGCTTTTTGGGACGCACACGAATCGCGACATGATTTAACGAAGGCACTGGCGCCAACTCCCCTCTCTCACACAATCATCGCGCGGATAACGCGACTCGAGGGAACACCTGCGTAGTTCCGCGCATTTGCAGATTAGCTGCTTCGCAGTCGTAACTTCTTATGCTCAAAAATGTGTAAAAGTTGCATAAACTAGCTAAGTGAAAGTGAAACAGTACATCTAAATCTAATTTGCGCCTCAAACAACCCGAAGACAGTGTGAGTGCACCAAAGAAGTTTATATCAAGTTGGCTGATAAATAAGTTCGGTCGCTTTTGCGATTCTTACGAATGCTGCAGACAAATTTCTGTCCAGAGTTTGGTATCTGTGGAAAGAGCATTTCAATGGGAATTGGAGTAAGACTCCGTTTGAGCAGAACTCATCTTCCAAGAAGCAAAATCTGCAAAGAATGAGAAACCCCACTTTCCTGATAGAGTAATATATAGCAATGAGGAAATTTGGTTTTCTCGATAAAAGATTTTCAAAGTGGCAGGTTACAATTTTTATTGTTAATCACTAAATAGGGGGAACTCCTCTGTATCAATACCAAACTGTTGTTCTTTACATTCACAAAAATAAAGCTTAGGATGTCTATATGGATAACTGAGCTTTTGGAAATTTAGCCATTTTGAGGCATAGTTGTCTCTACTATTGATAGAATTTCCAGAATTGATATGCGATAGAGAAGTTTTAGGCTACATCCTACAAAGAATCATGGTTAGGATGCAACAAAAATTTTTATGAAGATTTGTATGCCAAAAGAAATTACCTTTTAGCCACCTGACAGTTTAAAATAAGTATAATATGGCGGATAAATTTCTATTTCTTTCCACCACGGAGGTTTATATTATGTCGTTCCGAAGGTAATGTCGCTTAGCGCCGAATTTTGATGAAACGAAAATTCCTGAGAGATCTTGGCATCATTCGATGCAGCATTTCGTCCTCTTTTCAATGCTATGAAATTATTGCAGCATAGTCAATGGGCTCTTAAAAAATCACCAAAACCTGCACTCCATGATTTTTTGTCATAGTCAAGTTTAACAATTTTTTTTTGTTTATACCCTATTTTCAGGTGTATAAGCCGCACCCTTTCCGCTCTAAAGGCGAACACGCCAAAAGACTGACTGTCATCATGGTGGAGCGCGTTAAGTGAGAGCAGTATGCGATAAGGCGACCGCTTCGCGAGACATATGCGAAGCGGCACGCCTGGGTCTGCTCGCGTTTAGAGCAAAAAGGGTGCGGCTTATACGCGAAAATAAAGTTGCAATTCTCTGGAGGAGCACAAGTAACGTATGGATATTGCAAACCCTACACGATACAAAACACATTTTATTTTCTTCTTCCCATGGCTTGCTATAATTTTTTGAGAGAATTTTCAATAAAGCTATCGAATTTTAGCAGCTCCATCTCAGAAACGAACTCGTCAAACACCAGAAAATCATCCAAGTTTGAAGCTATCAAAAGCGATTATGCTTTTACACTAATTAAGCAAAGCAAATGAGAGTTCACAGACAGGAAAAATCGAATCTCAAATTTTTTTAGCCATAGCCGGGATACAGATATTTTAATTTGCTTTTTGCATAAATTTTTCTAATCATAAATCTTTCCACAAGCTTAGGGCAAGACAATTTTCTTGCTGTTTTGGATGAGCAAAAAAAAAACACCTATCGACTATCGATTTCATACTTTGAAGGTTTGAGAGATTCCTCAAGCGGCTGTAACATTGCGTGAGGTTCTTTAAGACAAAGGGCGTATCTAATCATTTTTAAAATGTTCACTCTTTCTTGCACTACATTGGTGATCGTAAACATTTTGATTATCAGTGACTATGAGATAAAGAAATCTCTAGTTTGTTCAATTACTAAGAGAAATTCCTTTCATATACTATCAATATCCAATTGACGATCAACAAAAAAATACTTCCTATGTTGATCTGGTTTGCTAAGTGGATTTTATACGAGTATGAAGTTCTAAGTTCAAGCTGCATCTAATTTTACTCACTGATCAGGGAACTTACAACAAATACATTTGTTTATTAGCAGGAAATGAGATTGTTCAAGAGGTAAGATTTAAGTAGACGCAAAACAATAGTATTTTTTGTAGTGAACACATTCCTAGACAGTATAAAAGTTTGTAGCCTTTCGGTGATTAGGTTCTCCTATTTGTGCGGAAAATTTGAGAGATGCTGAAATGTCAATGAAACGAAAAATGCATATAAACGCCATTCAAAAAATTGCACTGCTTTTGCTGAAACTATCTAATTTATGCTTTATTGTAAGTGGCTAAAATTTAATACTAGTATTGAATATGGTCGATTCTTGTGTTATGATAATTACAAGCTTGATTGTTTTTGCCATGAAAGAATGTTTGTTAAGTTATAGATATCGGTGAGCTAAGAAATCAAATATTGTATAGCTTTGTATTTGCCAGGTGTTCGCGTAGTAAAGGAGGCGATATGATACACAGAATTGTAATCGTTTGATACCACTTGTTAACCAAAACCACAAAATTATTGCCACGCGGGGCTTCGTTGTACGCGCGAGCAAGCGACCTCAAACTTGGGTTATTAAACTTTATCTTGGCAACGAAAAGTCAACAATTCGATTAAACAGATAACAAAATGATATCAATAAATGAGATCTGACTACAGTATAATGAACTGAGAGAGAGAGAAAAACTAAACAGCAAAACAAATGGCAAAGCAAGCTAAGTACAACGACTTATATGCATGGATATATGCCCTCTGGCTGCAGCTGCTCGCGGCTTCACAGATGACGACTAAAAAACTGTGCATCTTTGCTAGCATCTGTACCTTCTCCAGAAACCTTGCTACGAATTGATTAACATCTCGTCGTTCCTTGTTCTGAAATTTACATCTATGGTGCTACTTTCGTTCTATTGGGTTTCAAGAATCAATAAAACCATCTGTGAAAACTCTAAAATTTTTTATCATTCATTTCTTGAGATAGAAAGCGAAGAAAATATCTAACTATAAAGTAAAAAACCCAGTGTTTTATAAAATACATTTAAGATCTTTAGGATAAACTTCCTTGCACTAGAAATTCTCTCTTTTTCGAGAAATCCTTGGATCTCTAAAAAAAACACCGCTTTCCTTGCGGTTTTTCAGGTAAGGACCAAGAAATCGCTTCAGGAGTATGTAACAAAGACAAGAAAAAAATTCCTGATTATCATAATTATTGATCGTGACCCTATTGTTTTGAAACTTGATTACTTCATCCTGAAGTTTCTTTTGGAATAAACCCACCTTTTGCAAATCTATTCTCAGTTGTATAGAAGCCTTAACTTCATGATGTTTACCCCTCACGCAAAATTCTTTCGGCCTTTTTACCTTCCTCTCACTTTAGAACCCCTACTTTGCTTGCAAAGTGAAACTGTATTATCTCACGTTCGCCATAATCATGGATTTTGAGACTCTTTCCTGAAAGTATCACTATCAAGCTGCTCAAATTTGGTAGCTCAAAATAAACACATCATAATCAACGTGAAAGCCTTAGAGCGCTAGTCCTTCGGTTTTACATGACGTTGTAAAGCTGGAAGTCGGTTTGGAGGAAAATAAAGGGCACATCATAGATAAAGCTCACATACACAAAAGCACCACTCTAAACCCCAACTACATGAAGAACAAGTTACTACGCGACTAGGTGCTCAATCGCTCAAGATCTGGCTAATCTGGCTCAAGATTTTTTTATAGACGGATGCAGGCTAGCAGGAGAGGATGTCAAGCTTATGGTGGAGAACTTATGTGACTGAAGGGCATGCCAAGCTTTTGTCAAAGAAAAAATCCCCATTACTGACTGGTAAAGAAGTGAATTCGGATGGCTCATTGCAAAGCACAAAGAACGATATGGCTATAAAATCGGCTATATATAGCAAAAGATCTGTAAGAGCTCTTAAGTAAATGAAGAGCGTGCTCAACTTTTTCTCAAATCAAAGCGGGAGTTACCACCCAGATGCCACAGTGAGAGTGGCAAAACTTTCAGTTCTCATAAGTTTTCCAAGATTCCTACATTAATCCATTCTCTCCCAGTCTTCTACTATAAGGTAACATTTTAATTTCAAAACACTCTCTCCCTTAGGTAGAACTCAAAATAGCAACGAGGCCGGCGTCCTAAAGAAGGAAAGCGCTCTCCAACTGAACGACCTATGCAGCTGGCCCGAACAAGTGGGAGGGCGTAAATTCGAAAAAGCAAAGCCAACTTCGTCCCTCAAGTGTTCATTTACCAGCCCTCTCCAAAGCTCAGCTATGCATCAAAGCTTAAAGCATACCTCTAGCGATTCCATCAAGTCGCTGAAACTCCGCGACTTGACATTTTGCCAGATCTACATGGATTTGCAATGCGCATTATATCGTAAGCGTGTACCGTATATTATCACAAATGCGTCGAATCTTGCCCAAGCAAAGCGCTTTTACGTTCAATGACGAAGAGTTGTTCCGTGCCAAACTGCGCAGCGACTGAAATCGCGTGAAGTATGCCATCGGTCCAAGGACCAGTGTGCGTTCCGGATTATAGGGTTGTAAACCGAAGTAACTGATTCTAGGAGCTTTAATAGTATCGTGATTCTTTTCTGTGTACTCTTGGACAGTACCCGTAAGACTTTCCATGAAAGCCGCAATTTGAATTTGCTACGATTACTTTGTTAATATAACCCATTTCAGCTTTCGGAGTCTATTCATGGTCACCCCCACGATACGACGATGGACGTACTTCAGGCGAATGCTCATGCATGAAGCGAATAACCGCAGTGAAGTATCACTTCGGAAGTCAATCGGCGATTTTCCCAACGGTCGCCAATCTGCGACTGTAAGAGCGAAACAAAGACGTGCTCAGACTCGTTCGTCAGCACTTTCAAACTAGGTATAACGAAGAAACATGCGTATGTAGGTGTTATGCCACCTTTCCTCTTTTTCGTTTGTTTCTGTATTTCCCCTAGTGCCACATATCAACCATCAGTACACATTCCCACAGAAAGTCCCTCGGAATCGATTCGAAATTAGGTAGGAAGCAGCGTCACGTTGATATGTTTATTCCATTTATACCGCTCTTTTTACTCTCATATTAAGTAAAATTTCTCTTCAGATTTTCTAATGATTTATAGATCTGATGTATTGCATACTAGTCCTCCTCCATTTAAACGAGCTTCATACTTACGACTTATTTGTGAAAGATTATTTTTGGATGTCATATTCCCTTTAGTGTCAATGTTCACACTTTGCATTATCCACTTGAACGATCTCTATTCTTCTATCAATGAATGGTATTCTACGTTTTGTGTAGCTTTGGTGTTGCAAAAAATTCGGTCCACTAAATTAGAAAAAAAATGTTGCTTTTCACCCACCGCAACTAGACAAAACCCGGTTAGCACAACGACGACAGGTTGAGGATAAAATATCACCGAAAGCTTTCCTTCAATCACCAACTTCGCGAAATATATGCAAAATGTGTGTATGAAGCAAATGTAGTCAGGGAAAAATGCCATAATAAGAAAGAAAAAGAGAAGCACCAAGAAAAACGAAATTAATTGAAATGAAATGTGAAACGAAATAAATGAAATGTCAAACCCTACTTCCAAAATCAGTGTTTGAATGCCAATGTATCACCAGTGTGTTTGATGCTTACAAATGTGATATGCATCATGCTTGTTCATTACGTAATTTTAAAGGAAAGATTTGAGAGTCAAGAAATGCGATAGTGATTCGAACAGGTAGCTTCATAATATCGGCCAGCTTTCAGCACGAGATTTTTCGAATCTTACTATTTCTTTCCCGTTTGCACTCAATGGGAGGAAGCCGTTCTGTGGAGTTATGGTAAGCTAACATGCACACTATACAGCAAAGTTTCAGACAGCTTCATCAACAAGAACGCGAATTACAATAATTTCTAGACTAACTTTTATTAGATTGGCATATAAGTTTCGCAACTTTGTCCATGATTTCTTTCCCTTTGAGTGAGGCGCATTATTTTGGCTTTATGTAGAATCGGAAGTGAGCTAAATCCGCGTAAGCCGTTCGTTTTTATGGCAAAATGGAAAAAATCTAGGTATTTCCTGAAAGCGGTAATTTAAGCTTTTAAGTTTTTTTAGCGAAAACGAAGACGTACAGAAAATGAAGTAATAAAATTTAGCCGCAACTGTAGGCAAAATGTTTGCGGAGGTTGGCTACTAAGCCAGTGAGAAAGAATTGTAATTTAAAATTGATTAGAAATCTGGCTATCTTGTGAATTCGAACCGAGCGATTGCGTCAAAGTCACCTGGGAAATCCATTCCAAAGAGTCGAAACCGTTAGATTTTGGCAAAACTTTGCAAAACATGTTAATTTAACCTGCTGAACATGAATATCATATCCAGTTGTTGTCAGAGTTAAAAATTAGCTTGGTGATGTTTGTAACTCAACTTTTTCGCGGCAGAATACGTCTTTCTTGCAGAATGAATACCATTTTCGTAAGAGGTCGCATAATCCCCTTAGACCAAGTTATCCAAATGCGTATCAAATAATCTTTTTCCTTCCCATTCAAAGATTGCCTTACTGTAACTCTCAAATACGATGTTGGTCCGGCAAAGATGGCTGCATTCGTTGTTCACGTATTAATCATTATATATTTAAACAATGAAAGCGCTACATTCAAAAAGACAAAATTATAAGAAAAAGCTGCAAAACTTATGTGTCACCCTAAATACAGGGTGTCCCAAAAGTCTTTGAGCCCAGTATTTCCTCAGCTTTAACTGTACGATGCAACACTGACACATGGAATTCAGTAGAAATCTTGAGAAGAGCCTACAAAATAACAAAGTACACTCAGATTTCGAGAAACGCTCATTTCGCTTTCATACAAGCAATGACACTCCTGCGGAACGCATGCACCGTGGCAGACAGGTAGCTGACGTCGAGAATATCTCACATCTTCTGAAGCCAAGGGCTTTCGAGCCGGCGATCAAAAGCATGTCGATCTGAGAAGCATGTCTGTGAAATCTAACAAAAGTGTCAAAATGTAACAATCAAGTCTTTGAGAACGTCAAATAAACAGCAACTATGGTGTACCTGGAGCGCCCTGAAATGATATTTCAGTAAAAATGCAGGGCTTACAGCCAAGTTTAGTGACTCAATCTGAATTGATGTTGGAGTTTCAGCTTTCTCGGGCCTTTGTTTCCAAGAACTTTTTCTTCTCCAAAGCACTAGTTTGATGTTTGCATCTCAATTCTACATTAATGAACAGAGATTACTAATTAATTTTGCGCTGTAAAGATAGAGCGAAGCTAGCGCTACAATATAACTCAATATTCCGCAAGAGCTTCAAAGGCAAAAGAGCTACAGAGATTTGTGTGGGGGTACGCCAAGGTTGTCCTCAAAATCGTAGTACTGTTTGCTCCAAGAACAACTTGAGAATGTACAGCGCAAACGGTATGATTTTGTTGGGGAATATCCGGCGGTCGTGTGCCACACCTCTTGATCGACCCTGGAGATACTCAACAGTGCATGCCTTGCGATTAGATTACACTTCAATAAAGTGCGGTTCATAATTATACGAACACCCAAAATTTTGTAAGTTTTCGGACTTTTTGGGAGAAACTCAAAAAGCCTTTGGTACCACGCGATAGAACACAGCCGAAAACGGTATATGATCCATGAGAATGGAAATTGATGTCAATCTTAAAAGCGTCTTTGCGCCTAATGCGAATTTTTAGCGGTTCATAATTACACGAACACCTCAAACAAAGGTTCATTTTTCATCAAAGATTGCAACCACTTGAGTCTAAATTTTTTTGTAAAGTTACAGTAACAAAGTCTGACATATCTGCTACACAATGAACCCAGTGCAGTTCAAAAAGAGGACCGCTTTTTTTTCAGAAGGCTCTAAATGCGTTTGGAGTGTTTGCGCTCCAAAAACATCCGTTCTTCTGTGGTTTACGAGCTCTAATTAGCTTCTACCAAAACTATGAGATAAAATAAGCTCTTTCGATAGGTATTTTGTTTGACGCTTGGAAAATCTTTGCGTTTTCGTGCCGTTTTTCAGCCAAGTTCCAACCATACCAAAGAGTTAGCATGATTTCGAGCCTCAAAACTCAGCTTCTGAAGCCGTACAATGAAGTAAGCATATAGTATGTAGAAATTCACAAGACTGTTTATTTGGTTAGAAAAAATCAGCAGCGTTGAGCATTTGTTTTGGCCACGCAGACGTCATTTCACCAAAAACACTGTTTTTACTAATGCAATCACACCTTTATTTGGTTTGTAGCTCCACAGTCTCAAGATCAGTTCTACAAAAAACCCAAAAACGTTGGCACAGAAATATCATCGTGCAAACAATGCAGCTGCTTCATATCAGATGTTTGCGCAAGAGAAAAGCTGAGTTTTGAGCCTCGAAATCGTGCTAACTCTGTGGTAAGGTTGGAACTTGGTTGAAAAACGGCACGAAAACTATTTTATCTCATAGTTTTGGTAGAATCTAATTAGAGCTCGTAAACCACAGAAGAACAGATGTTTTTGGAGCGCAAACACTCCAAACGCATTTAGAGCCTTCTGAAAAAAGCAACGGTCCTCTTTTTGAACTGCACTGGGTTCAGTGTGTAGCAGATATGTCAGACTTTGTTACTGTAACTTTACAAAAAATTTAGACTTAAATGGTTGCAATCTTGAATGAGAAATGGACCTTTGTTTCAGGTGTTCGTATAATTATGAACCGCTAAAAATTCGCATTAGGCGCAAAAACACTCTTAAGATTGATTCTATTTCCATTCTCATGGATCATATACCGTTTTCGGCTGTGTTCTATCGCGTGGTACCAACGGCTTTTTGAGTTTCTCCCAAAAAGTCCGAAAACTTACAAAATTTTGGGTGTTCGTATAATTATGAACCGCACTTTATTCGTGCAAACGTCGGTGTGGACGAGAACTCAGATACCGTACAGAAGTGTTGTAATCTCTGAAATTCCCTGAGACTGGGATTTCTAGCAAAGATTTCCGGATTCTGATGTCTTTCGTTGCGATGGAAAGCCGTTGTTCCATTTTTGGCCCTCGGCAATGGCTATCTGACTTGGCGTACTTGGCGGGCTGTTGTGCAATAATGCAGCTTGATCGTTCACTTCGTTTTGCCGAGCTTGAACTTTGTTCTACCACTGTACGACTATAACTTCATGAAGGGATTCCAGCTCCAAGTGTTCGTCTAGTTCTATCTTCAGCTCGTTCCTCTAGTTCCCTCGTTTCGTGCGCTAATGTATTCGATCGCGGCGTTCACTTGCGTGTCTTCAAGATTAACCGCGTTTTGCAACGGTGTGTCGATTCCATTTACTGCCGTCTCGTATGGCTGCACGAGCGCGCAGGCGTGTTGATTTTCGATTTGAAAATTTGGAGCACTGTCTTTTTCTTACTACACAAAGTTTGCACAAAGTTACGTTTGTGCTGTTGAGTGTTGATTACGAGTAACGTGGTATGCGTATCCTCCTTAGTTGTACGCTTTGATTTGAGGACAGGCTGGCTTCTCATGATAGCTGTCCTTATTGGGCGCAAGGAAGCTTTCTAATGAGCTGAAAATTGAGTGCCGATGTCTACTACTTGTAAGCAAGCGCGCCTGGTTGGCTTGTACGCTGTACTGGGCGATAGGGTGACTTGAACTGTGCCATGGGGGTTGACGGCAATCCGAAGCTCGAATTCTGAGTAAACTTTGAAATTGTAGCTATTGCCAACTGGTCTTTTATTGATTCCTGGTCGTCTTATGAAAAAAGAGCAGAGATGTTCAATTTGCAGTGGAGTTAACCGGCTGTTTTCTTTACTAACTTCTGGTCGTCTTACGAAAAGAGAGCTCAGAAATGTTCAATTAACCAGTGTGAATTTCTACAGCTGGGGCTTTTACTAATTCATGGTCGTTTTATGAAAAGAGAGCTAATAAGGGTTCAATCAATCAATGAGAAGTCTTTAGTTGACTCTTTTAACTCTGGCCGTCTTGGGAAAGGATAGCTCAGAAGGTTACACTCACTCAGTGAGAATTTACCAACCGATGCTTTTATTACCTCCTGGTGGTCCTACGAAAAGAGAGCTCAGAATGGTTCGATTACTAGGGTGCCCCATAGTTTTTTACCGTTTTTACTATAACCGTCATCTTTTGTATCTTTCCTTCAATTGATGCGGCTTCAGTAATCATTTGACAGGCAAAGCAAGCTCTACAAG